AAGATTCAAAAGGTTGTTAATTTACCAACACCTTTTATCTAAGTTATAAAAAAATAATTAAATAAACAAAAAGGGGAAGGAAAAATAAATTATATGCAATTGACTAGTTATTAACGATGATTAAGTGTATAAACACAAGTGATTAAGCATCTAAAAATGTGATTAAATGATAATTAAAGAAATAATTTAAATGTGATAAATAGATATTTAAAAGATGTTGGAATAAATATATTAAAAGTGAGAATATATGAAAGGAGATAAAATAATTGATACGTATAGGACTGAATAATTCCAACTCATGTATTATTTGGGCAATATATGAAAAAAAGGAAACGTGGAAGATGAAGTCGAACTGGTGACCGTGTAAACACCGAGTTCGACCTGCCAGTCTGACCATGACGCTTCCTGCGTAATGAACTCAGCAGTCATACATTCATCCACCTCACCATACGTTTTCAACTGACAATTGAGGCGTGTGAAGGAAATAGCCGGGAAGGAAAATAAATCTTTATGAGAAGAGGATGTAAGGTCAGGTAAGAAAATGATGAGGTGAAAGCGCCAGGCCAGTATGAATATATAACTCTTGGAAGGAACACTACGATGTGCTGGGATGTGAGGACGGAGTGAAGAAATGGTGCTCAACCACTTGGACCTTCGGGGATCGAACACCGACCCTGCAAGACGCGAAAGTATGGGGTGGAAAACGGGGCCTAATCACTTGGACCTTCTGGGATCGAAAAGCAAAAATGTTATATAGACATGATAGATCTCAAAACATTTTAACAGAGCGAACTTTACGAAGTTACTTTCTCCAATATATTAAGGTATATCTGTGTTATTCTACTTAGTATTTATTTAATAAATAAAAAAAATCTGAATAAGTTTTTTTTTCTATGGGCATACATTAACAGCTTCAACACCCTAATAAACAGTAGTTCATCTTGCTTAACGCTTAAGTATTATTGAGACCTAAAGCTGATTTGTACATTTTATCTTGTTTAAGTAATGAACGCAAGGCAGAGCAAAAAGTGAATATAAAGTGTATTTGACGCAGAGTTTAGATAAGATTTCTCGTATCTTAGGTCTCAAATGTTTGCCCGAAGCTTAAAAAAATGCTTAAAGATTTTTGTCTGTATCGAGGACTTCAGTGAAAAGGTACTTAATCACATATAAATTTTGTATTTTCACAAAATTATGTAATATTATAGTACTAGTAAAGTAATTATGGAAAAATTAAAGTAATAATAGAGTTAAATCTTTAACTTTAAAAAAAATATTATTTTCTCTAAAATTGGAATATACTCAACAGCATTACCCCAAACATGCTAGACACCGACACTTACCTTTATCGAGTGGCGTCGGCAAGTGCAGTATTGGATAGTATCCTTAACTAAGTTCACCCAGGACTGCATGCTGACTCATACACAGAGACACTATAGGATGCTTGGCATCTTCAGCAAAAAATGATACCGCATATTCACTTCAACAACTAGAAAAATAATAATGAATCAATACTAGCCATGTGACATAAAATAACAGGATGTCACTCACAACCCTATTCAAATAGTAAACTGCAATGGAGTTACGCTGTACAATGGGAGTGCAGTCTAAACACGATTTTTTTTAATTCGCATTTAGACTGCAGGGGGGTTCCAGGTAAATTTGGCCATTCGCGTTTGAACTGCAGGGCATTCCAGGTCATATCTCCCGTTTTGAGTGTCGGATTTCCAGACTTAAAGACCGAAATTTTTCAAAGATCATATTCGGATAAATTGTTCATATAAGTTTGTTAAGAATTCTTATCAGGAAAATAATTTCATAGAAGTCATAGAAGTTTCTTATAAAAGTCAGGGGCATAGTTCGCTCTCGTATTACTGAGAATAAACTCTACGGTCTTTTTTTTTTTTGGTGGAGGGGGATTCACTCATTTGGAGTTAAAGAGTTCTTATGGAGGAAATTCAGATAAAAAATCACTCATACGTTCTTAAAGATTTCAAATTTTTTTAGAAAATCGAAATTTTTCAGAGTTCAATTTTATGAAAATATTTCAGAGTTCATATAATCATTGAAGTGTATTTACGAGTTTATGACCGAAATTTGATAAAAAGACCATTTTCAGAAAATATTGTCATAGAAGTTTTGTTAAGGAAAATAGACATCTTAGCCGTGACTTTTAATTTTTATATCCATTTACAGCTATTTCACCTGTAAAAGACTGAAAATTATTCAAAGACCGTTTGAAGACCGAAATTTGACAGAGATTATTTTAGACTCAAATATTGTCAGAGACCATTTTAGACCAAATAATTTCAAATATCATATAAGACCGAAATGAGAGATTATTATAGACGCAAATATTGTCAGAGACCCTTTTAGACCAAATAATTTCAAAGATCATATAAGACAAAAATGAGAAATTATTTTAGATCCAAATATTGTCATAGTCCAGTAAAAGACCTAAATTATTCAGAGTTCAGTAAAAAACCTAAATTATTCAGAGTCCAGTAGAAATCCGAAAATAGTCAGAGTCCATTTAAGACCGAAAATTAGTCAGAGACCAGTTTAAGCCCCAAATTCAACAGAGTCCATTTTAAGAATTTAAGAAAGTCACACAACATGTACCGCACCTCACAACACATAGAACCAGTGAAGAGCAGAGGTGCCATAGGCACAATCAGAGAACACTGTATAAACATCAGAGGTCCACGGTTGTTCAACGTCCTCCCAGCAAGCATAAGAAATATTGCCGGAACAACCGTGGACATCTTCAAGAGGAAACTAGATTTATTCCTCCAAGGAGTGCCGGACCAACCGGGCTGTGGTGGGTATGTGGGCCTGCGGGCCGCTCCAAGCAACAGCCTAGTGGACCAAACTCTCACAAGTCAAGCCTGGCCTCGGGCCGGGCTTGGGGAGTAGAAGAACTCCCAGAACCCCATCAACCAGGTATCAACCAGGTAACATACCGCACCTCACAACACATACCGCACCTCACAACATATACTGCACCTCACAACATATACTGCACCTCACAACACATACCGCAACTCACAACACATACCGCACCTCACAACACATACCACACCTCACAACACATACCGCACCTCACAACACATACCGCACCTCACAACATATACCGCACCTCACAACACATACTGCACCTCACAACACATACCGCACCTCACAACACATACCGCACCTCAAATCACATGCCACACCTTGCAACATCTGCTGCACTTCACAACACATACCTCACCTTACAAAACCTGCTGCACCTTACAACACCTGCTGCACCTCCCAACGCATACCGCACCTCACAACAAATACCTTTTCTCACAACACATACCTCACATCACAACACATGCTGCACCTCACAAAATATCTCACCTCAAAACACATACCGCAACTCACAACATACCTCACCTCACAAAATATGCTGCACCTCTCAACACATTCTTCGCCTCACATCACCTTCTGTACATCACAACACATACCGCACCTCACCACAGTAGTAGGCAGTAAACGCCGTAAACCCAATATTTCGTTTTTTTGAAAAGTCATGCTTAAAATGTGGGGGTTCCAGGTAAACTTTGTCACTTACCGATTTGGAATTAAAGGTTTCTTATGGGGAAATAGGAGACAAAAATCACCAAACACTCATTTGGACTTAAAGGTTTCTTATGGGGAAAACGCCGCACTTTGGAGAGTCACTTTTGGGTTTGTTGCAAATAAGAGGGTCATGTCTGAGTTTGGCACACGTTATGTAATGTTATGGGTTATGTAACGTAATTTATCTATCCCAACTTAACCTAACCTAACTTAACTAAACTTAACTTAACTTACATTACCTAACTTAAGTTAACTTACATAACCTAACCTGTCATAACCTCACTAACTTAATGTAACTTACTTAACCTAACTTGACTTACATAACCTAACCAATGCTAACTTTACTTACTTAACATAACTTACCTAACATAACCTAAAATAACCTAACCTTACATAGCTTAGCAAAACGTAGCTTTACTAATATAACTTAACCTAACCTTTCTTGCTTAATATAATCTAACCTATTTCTCTCCTACCTAATGTAACTTCTATAACTCAACTTACTAACTTAACTTACATTACTTAACCTAACTTACATAACCTAACCTAACCCTACTACCTTAACATAACTTACCCATCCTAACCTAACCGCCAAACATAACTTACTAACTTAACTTACATCATGTAACATAACTTATCTACACTCACCTACCTAACCTCCTCCACCTAATGTAACTTACCTAAACTGATTTGGCGCAAGTTGGATGGTCACCTCTTGGTTTTACCATATGGTGTAGGGTCACGCCTGGGTTTGGTGCACGTTGGAGGGTCACCTCTTAATTTTGTGCACGTTGGAAGGTCGTTTCTGGGTTTGCCGCACGTTGGAGGGCCATCTTTTGGCTTTGCGCACGTTTAAGGATCACCTCTGGGTTTGTTGCATGTTGGAGGGTTACCTTTGGGTTTGGCGTACGATGGAGGGTCACCTGTAACTTTGCCTCACTTTGGAAGCTCAGTTCGGAATTTGGTGCACGTTGAAGGGCAACGTTTGCAGAATGTTGGAGGGTCACCTCTGAGTTTGCCGCCCGTTGAAGGGTCACCTCTGGGTTTGGCGAACGTGGGAGGGTCACCCTAGAGTTTCCCGCATGTTGGAGAGTCACCTCTTGGTTTCGCACCCATTAGAAGGTCACCTCTGGGTTTGGCGCACGTTGGAGGGTCACCTCTGAGTTTGGCGAACGTTGGAGGGTCCTTTCAAGGTTTGCCGCAAGTTGGAGGGTCACCTGAGGTTTGGCATACTTTTTAGGTGTCACTTCTGGGTTTGTCGAATGTTGGAGGGTCACCTCTGGGCTAGCCGCACGTTCAAGGGACACCTCTAATTTTGGCGTACGTTTGAGGGGTCATCTTTGAGTTTGCCACTCGATGAAGGGTTACTTCTGGTATTGGCGCACGTTGGAGGGTCACCTCGGGGGTTTGGCACACGTTGGAGGGCCACCTTTGTATTTGCCGCACATTGGCGGGTCACCTCTGGTTTTGTCGAACGTTGGAGGGTCACCTCTGGTCTTGCCGTACGTTGGAGGGTCACCTCTGGTCTTGCCGTACGTTGGTGGGTCACCTCTGGTCTTGCCGTACGTTGGTGGGTCACCTCTGGTCTTGCCGTACGTTGGTGGGTCACCTCTGGTCTTGCCGTACGTTGGAGGGTCACCTCTGGTCTTGCCGTACGTTGGAGGGTCACCTCTGGTCTTGCCGTACGTTGGAGGGTCACCTCTGGTCTTGCCGTACGTTGGAGGGTTACCTCTGGGCTTGCTGCACGTTGGAGGATCTCCTCTGAGTTTGACTTACATTGGAAGTTAAACTCTTGGAGTGTTGTACGTTGAAGACTCAACTATAGGTTTGCCACACGGTGGAGGGTCACCTCTGGGTTTGACGCACGTTGGAGGGTCACCTCTGGGTTTCCCGCATGTTGAAGGATCACATTTGGCTTTGACGCTCGCTGGAGAATCATCTATGGGTTTGCTGCACATTAGAAGTTCTCCTCTGGGTTTGTCACTCGTTGGAGGTTCATCATTGGGTTTTCTACATGTTGGAGGGTCACCTTTGTGTTTGCCGCACATTGGAGTGTAAAAACCTGGGTTTTGCGCACGTTGGAGGGTCACCTCCGAGTTTGGCGAACGTTGGAGAGTCACCTCTGAGTTTACTGCACGTGGGAGAATCACGTCTGGGTTTGCAGCACGTTTAAGGGTCACCTTTGAATTTACCTCTTGTTGGAGGGCCACCTCTGGGTTTACAGCACGTTCGAGGGTTACCTCAGAATTTGCAGCACGTTGAAGGGGTCATCTTTGGGTTTGACGCACGTTGGAGGGGCACCTCTGGGTTTACCGAACGTTGGAGGGTCACCTCAAAGTTTGTCGTACGTTGGAGGGTTACCTTGAGATTTGCCGCACGTTGGATAATCACTTGTGGGTTTGGCGCACGTTGGAGGGTCACCGAAGAGTTTGCCGCAAGTTGAAGGGGACATCTCTGGGTTCGACGCATGTTGCAGGGTCAGCTTTGGGTGTGCCGCAAGTTGGAGGGTCACCTCTGGGTTTGCCGCACGTTAGAGGGTCACCTTTGAGTTTGGCGCACGATGGAGAGTCATCTCTGGGTTTTCCGCACGTTGGAAGGTCACGTCTCTGTTTACCGCACGTTGAAGGGTCACCTCTGGATTTGGCTCATATTGGATGGTCACCTCTGGGTTTGCTGCACGTTGGAGGGTCTCCTCTGAGTTTACAGCACGTTGGAGGGTCGCCCCTGGGTTTGCCGCATTTTGGAGGATCACCTCCGAGTTTGGCACACGTTTGAGGGTCACCTCTAAGTTTTCCACACGTTGGAGGGGTCATCTATGGGTTTGGCGCACATTTGAAGGTCTCCTCTGTGTTTGCAGCACATTGGAGGTTCACCTCTGGGTTTGCCACACGTTGGAAGGTCACCTCAGGGTTTGCTACACATTGGAGGGTAACTTATATCCCGCCAAACACACACCGAAACTACGACGTTGGTACAACGTTCGAACAAGTTGTAACACCTCCTAACCAGTTATAACAACCAATATAGCAAGTTGTAATAACGTTCTAATACGTCATAAACACGTTAAGCCAAGATGTAACAACTTTATTACGAGTTGTAACAAGCGGAAAATAGAGACAATTTCGGTTTGTGTTTCCAGGATATGGGATTGCTGGACGTTGAAGAGTCACCTCTGGGTTTGTCGCAAGTTGGAAGGTCAATTCGGTGTTCCGTGCACGATGGAGGTTCACCTGAGGTTTTGCAAACGTTGGAGGGTCACCTCTGGGTTTGCCACGCGGACAGGGGTCACCTCTGCATTTTGCATCATGTTGGAGGGGTCACTTCTGGGATTGCCACACACTGAAGGGTCAGCTTTGGGTTTGGCGCCCGTTGGAGCGTCACCTCGGTGTTTGCCGCACGTTGGAGAGTCAACTCAGAGTTTGCTGCACGTTGGAGGGTCACCTCTGGGAGTACCGTACGTTAGAGGGTCACCTCTTCGTCTGCCGCACAATGGAGGGTCATCTCAGAGTTTTCCGCATGTTGAAGGGTCACCTTTGGGTTTGGCGCCCGATGGAGGGTCACCTCTGGGTTTGCAGTACTTTGTGGGGGTTAGCTTTGGGTTTGGCAGAAGTTGGAGGGTCATCTCTAGATTTGTCCCACGTCGGAAGGTCACCTCTGGGATTGGCGCACGTTGGATATTCATTTCTGGATTTGGGGCATGTTAACCCCTTAACTGCGCGGCCTCCAAATATGACACCCCCCCCCCCCCTCAGTGCGCAGGAAATAAAATCTCAGGAAAAAAATCTTTTTTGTTTTGAAAGTGTCAAAAACCCTTCCCCGAAAATGGGCATAGCAACGGAATGTCGTAATTGTACTTACTTTGGCTGCTATGGGGTCCGTAAGGTGGAGTGTGACGTCATCATTCCCCGTGTGTCCGTGACGTAAGCTCCGGGGCCAGAAGGGCACCCAGGGCTATCTTGAGGTTATCTTGAGATAATTTCGGGGCTTTAGTGTCCCCGCAGCCAGGTCCTCGACCAGGCCTCCACCCCCAGGAAGCAGCCCGTGACAGGTGACTAACACCCAGGTACCTATTTACTGCTAGGTAACTGGGGCATAGGGTGAAAGAAACTCTGCCCATCGTTTCTCGCCGGCGCCCGGGATCGAACCCGGGACCACAGGATCACAAGTCCAGCGTGCTGTCCGCTCGGCCGACCGGCTCCCCGTAGGGCTGGATGCGTGCACCTGCCGCGAATGTATTTTTGTTAATTTTTTGCGCACAGTGCCAAATACAATTTATTAGATTTTACGTGCCTATCCAATGTATGGTAAACACGTACACTATATTATGACAGTAGAACATCCGTAGACACTGTGCTATGTTTCTCACAAACAAGTACACTTATCCTGCACATATCTTCAGTGAATCATGCTTATATATTTATAATTACATTATATATACACAATGTACAGTATCACACACTATATACACACACACTATACACACACTCAATACTCCGCGAGTGTGTGATATGCTGCGAAACAGCCAACGGGGTACAGTGGCACCTTGCACTCCACGCACAAGATGCTGACGCATCTTCGCTTTGGTCTCTGCGGGTAGTGTTCCTGCATACTATGCACGCACGTTTACCCTTCTTGAGCATGTGTACCCCGAAGTTCTCATTACCCCGCAGTCTGTCTGGAGCTGCAAGTGGCATTGTTGCTTGCACCTCGCACGGTACAACGGAGCCCTCCTTGCCATACTTTACCAGCGGCTGTGACACAACGCTGGCACTGAAGGTACGTATAGACGGTTTCCTGCCGGACTTTACTAGGTACATATTGAAGCAGTTGAGCACTGCAACATCCATCAGGTGGAAGAAGAATTTTTTCGTCCACTTCACAGACCTGCGCACGCACTCCACACCATCAAGCATCATATATGTCACATTAATCGACGAGGCGCACGTTCACGTTATAGTCTATGACACAGTCCGGCTTATACATGGGGTTGCGCATCTGAAAGTGGACCTTCCTACTGTCCACCATGGCACCGGTGTGAATCGTCGTCAGCATATTCACCTCCCGTCTATCTTTCCACAGCACTGACAGCATATTTTCACACTTGCACAGCTGGCACTCACCCACTGGTATACCTATACCGAACACTGGCATTTCCTTCCTGAGGACCTTCACAATGCCACATACACCGGTGTTGTGGGCGAGGAGGTATCTAGTCAATAGGGGGCTGGTGTAATAGTTGTCGGTGAACAGTATATGCCCCCTGTTCAGCAACGGTTCCATCAGGGTTTTTACGACACTGCCGGAGAACCTGTGTTCATCTTGAGCTGGTATGTCGACGTCTGTACCAGAATACAAGATCATGTCCAGGACGATACCAATCTCACAGTCGCACAGCACGAAAAACTTCAGTCCAAAACGGTGCTGCTTTGAAGGGATGTACTGCTTGAATGCAGTCTGTCCTTGAACAGTACAAGCGATTCGTCGATAACCACATTCTGTCCAGGTACAAAATAATCCCTGAACTTCTCTCTCAAGTCACTGAAGACCTTCCGTACCTTCCACGGTCTGTCGTGTCTGTCTTCATTTGCATTATTCTTGAAATGCAGGCACCTGAGAATCAAGAAGAACCTATCCCGTGACATATACCGGTTGAACACGGGCGATGGAACAAGGCAGTCTTTGTTCCAATAGTCCTGGTCGACAGCTTTCTTGGAGTGCTTCATCATCATGCAGAGTGCCAGAAACACGTACATTTCGTCGATTGTCGTGTCCTTCCATCGCGTAAGGCGTGAGGCAGGTAATATGCTGCCGTCTATGAGGCTGTGAGCGTATGTGTTTGTCTCAGTCACAAGAAGCGTCAAGAAAACGTCGTCAAAATATGCGTGGAAATATTCCATGTCCGCCATATCATCACCGGTATACGGGAATAATGTTGTAACACCAACATCGGTATCATCAAACGCTGGTATTTGAGGGACAAATGTGGTGCAATCCTCCCACACAAGTACACCAGGGGGTTTGGTGTTGGCGCCAACACCACGGCCAACACCACCACGAGCACCAAACCATAGCTACTTCGTTTGCTGTTGCTGCTGGAGCTGTGCGAGAGTATGCTTGGCGCTGAGGCAGATTTACGTACCGTATGCCTACCACGAACATGTGATGGTGAGGGCCCACTGTCGTCATGCTGTGAGACACGCTGTCGTCTGTCTCGATGTGTTGCTGAGGCAGCAAAACCCCGCCTGGTACCATCCCCGCTGCTAGTACTCGGGTCGTCCACACTACTCGTATCGGTGCCAATGTCACTGAAGCCCGAGAAAGATTCATCACATGTATTGTCACTGAATAGACTTGCATCTGAGGACATACATGATGGTGGTGGTGATGATAACGGTGTTGACCCAGGGCAGCAAGGCAGGCTGGGCGAGGCGCGTGTACCGTACATGCTCACCACATCATCCACTTCCGTCTCTCCCTCACTCTTATCAGACCTCTGTGTCAGGTCTTTCTCTGGATCATAGTCCAGGTCATCATCCATAACACCATCATCGTACAAAATATCACGTATCTCCTCCTCAGAGAGTCGTTTTACATGACCGCGGGTCACCGTGGAGCGGGAGCTCATTGACGATGCGTCAGACATGGTTGCTGCTTGGGAACTGAGGCTTCCCACGGCAACGGGGGATGCTGGGAATTTTTTTCAAGATGACGGACGATCACTGGGGCCCCCAGGCATCCATTCCATACCCGCGTCACCGCCCCCCCACTTTTAAATAGAACGTGAAAAATACAAATACCCGGAGGTATTTGCATTCGTCACCGTTGGCGGGTCACCTGTGGGTTTGACGTACGTTTTAGGTGTCACCTGTGGGTTTGACGTACGTTTTAGGTGTCACCTCTGGGTTTGCCGCATGTTGGACGGTCACCTAATTTGTTTTGCACAATTTGGGGGGTCACTTCTCGGCTTTCCGCACGTTGGAGGGACACCTGTGGGATTGACGCACGTTTAAGGATCTCCTATAGGTTTGCCACACGTTGGAGGGTCACCTCTGGCTTTAGCGCATGTTAGAGGGTCATCTTTGGGTTAGATGCACGTTGGAGGGTCACCTCTGGGTTTCCTACACACTTGAGGGTCACCTCTGAATTTGCCAAACGTTGGAAGGTCACCTTTGATTTATGGCGGACGTTGGAGGGTTTCTCCTCTGGTTTTAGCGCCCGTTGGAGGGTCACCTCTGGGTTTCCCGCATGTTGAAGGATCACATTTGGGTTTGACGCACCCTGGAGAATCTCCTATTGTTTTGCTGCACATTGGAAGTTCATTTCTGAGTTTGCCAGTCGTTGGAAGTTCATCCTTAGGTTTTCTACACGTTGGAGGGTCACCTTTGTGTTTGCCACACGTTGGAGGGTCAAACCTGGGTTTTGCGCACGTTGGAGGGTCACCTCCGAGTATGGCGAACGTTGGAGAGTCACGTCTGGGTTCGTAGCACGTTGAAGGGTCACCTCTGGATTTGGCTCATGTTGGAGGGTCACCTCTGGACTTACAGCACGTTCGAGGGTTTCCTCAGAGTTTGCATGACGTTATAGGGGGCATCTTTAGGTTTTACGCACGTTTGAGGGGCCCCTCTGGGTTTGCCGCATGTTCGAGGGTCAATTCGGGGTTTCGTGCACGTTGGAGGTTCACTTGTGGGTTTCGCGAACGTTGGAGGGTCACCTCTGGGTTTGCAACACGGTCAGGCGTCACCTCTGCTTTTTGCATCATGTTGGAGAGTCACTTCTGGGTCTGCCACACATTGGAGGGTCAGCTTTGGGTTTGGCGCCCGTTGGAGCGTCATCTCTGTGTCTGCCGCACGTTGGAGGGTCAACTCAGAGTTGGCAGCACGTTGGAGGGTCAACTCAGGGTTGGCAGCACGTTAGAGGGGTCTTCTTTGGGTTTGTCACACGTTTGAGGGTCACTTCTGGTTTTGGCGGAAGTTGGAGGGTCACCTCTGGGTTTGTCATACATTGATAGGTCACCGCAGGGTTTGCCGCATGTTGGAGGGGTCTTCTCTGGGTTTGCCGAACGTTGGAAAGTCACCTGTGTATTTACCGCACGTTGAAGGGTAACCTCTAGGTTTAGCGCACGTTTGGGGGGTCACCTCTGGTTTTGCCGCCAGTTGGAGGGTCACCTTTTAATTTGCCGCACGGTGACGGGTCACCTCAGGCTTTCATGTACTTGGAGGGTCTTCTCTGAGTTTCACGCACGTTTTAGGGTTACCTTTGTGTTTGGCGCACGTTGGAGGGTCACCTCTTGGTTTGACGCACCTTTAAGGGTCACCTCAGGGTTTAACGCACTTTGGAGGGTCTCCTCTGGGTTTCACACATGTTGCTGGGTTACCGTTGGGTTTGGCGAACGTTGGAAGATCACCTCTGGGTTTTCCGAACGTTGGATGGATCATCTCTGGGTTTGCTGAACGTTTGAGGGGTCAGCCCGGGGTTTCTCGCACGTTGGAGGGACATCTCTGCGTTTTACTCACATTGGAAGGTCACCTCTGGGTTTGCCGCATGTTAAAGGGACACCTCTTCGTTTGGCGCCAGATGGAGGGTCACCTCTGGCTTTAACGCATGTTGGAGGTCACCTATGGCTTTGACGCACGTTGGAGGTTACCTCTAGCTTTGACGCACGTTGGAGGTTACCTCTAGCTTTGACGCACGTTGGAGGTCACCTCTAGCTTTGACGCACGTTGGACGGTCACCTCTTGGTTTGCCGCACGTTGGAGGGGTCACCTCTGGGTTTGCCACACGTTGAAAAGTCACCTCTAGGATTTCCGCACATTGGATGGTCTCCTTTAGATTTGCCGCACGTTGAAGGGTCTCCTCTGGGTTTGATGCATGTCAGAGGCTCACCTCTGGGTTTGCCTCTCGTTGGAGAGTCACCTTTGTATTTGACGCACGTTGGAGGGTCACGTCTAGGTTTGGCGCACGATAGGGGGTCACACCTGAGTTTACCACACGTTGCAGGGTCACCTTTGAATTTGCCTCATGTTAGAGGGTCACCTCTACTTTTGGAGCAAGTTCATGGGACACCTCTAAGTTTGTCGCACGTTGGAGGGTCATCTCTGTGTTTGGCGCACGGTGAACGGTCACCTCTGGGTTTGTCATACATTTATAAGTCACCTCTGGGTTTGCCGCACGTTGGAGGGTCTCCTCTGGGTTTGCTACATGTTGGAGGGTCACCTCTGGGTTTGCCGCACGATGGATTTGAGTAGGAGTATGAGGTTTGAGTAGGTTACCTCTGGGTTTGAGTAGGGAGATTTACGCACATTCCCGTCCCCACCACCTGGACAGGTGGTGCAAAGGTACGCACCAGGTGTCCAAGTGATTAATTAGGGGACGTGTATTGGCGTAAGGTCGTAGTATGGGTTAAGCTCTGCCTCCTTGAGCGGTCGTGCGGTATTGTTTGGATGGTAAGGAGTGTGTAGTAGGATGTTTGCGTGTTGGATAGGATGAGTAGGTGCATGAGGTTGAATATATAGGTTGATATATATATATATATATATATATATATATATATATATATATATATATATATATATATATATATATATATATATATATATATATATATATATATATATATATATATATATATATATATATATATATATATATATATATATATATATATATATATATATATATATATATATATATATATATATATATATATATATCGGTCTGTGAGGATGTCGAGGTGTTGTTCAATGCGGGTACGGATACTTTCGTCGATGTTGCTATTTCTCCACTCGTTTGTAGCATGAAGTAGTTGCGTTTTGTTGTCTTTGATTTCATTCTCTGCCTTGTATATCTGATCACGAATCAGATCCTGGCGATATTTTATCGTGAAGGCTTGATTCCTTGCTGCTGGGTCGTGCGCTTTAATATTAGTATATTTTGGTAGCAGTCTTTCCTGTAGACATATATTATTAAATATGACCGAAAAAGTAAGATTAATAATTCTAACACGAATTTTCTCAATCTTTCGTACATTTCTTTTCACTGTTGGAGTTAATTCAAAAATAAATTCTCCAAAATTCATTTTTATTTCTAGTCTGACGCGACACGAGCGCGTTTTGTAAAACTTATTACATTTTCAAAGACTTTAGTTTACAAATACACCACTGAATAGAACTTACACATCTCCGATTTTGTTTATATCTACATTTGAGTGAGGTGGATGGGGTGAGGTGGCATTAATAGGGTATTAATTTTATCAACACAAGACAGAACAAGAGGTGGCATTAATAGGGTATTAATTTCATCAACACAAGACAGAACACGAAACAATGGGTATTGAAATGGAAGTGATTGTAGAAAGCCTATTGGTCCATATTTCTTGATGCTTCTATATTGGAGCGGAGTCTTGAGGTGGGTAGAATATAGTTGTGCATTAATTGGCTGTTGATTGCTGGTGTTGACTTCTTAATGTGTAGTGCCTCGCAAACGTCAAGCCGCCTGCTATCGCTGTATCTATCGATGATTTCTGTGTTGTTTACTAGGATTTCTCTGGCGATGGTTTGGTTGTGGGAAGAGATTATATGTTCCTTAATGGAGCCCTGTTGTTTATGCATCGTTAAACGCCTAGAAAGAGATGTTGTTGTCTTGCCTATATACTGGGTTTTTTGGAGCTTACAGTCCCCAAGTGGGCATTTGAAGGCATAGACGACGTTGGTCTCTTTTAAAGCGTTCTGCTTTGTGTCTGGAGAGTTTCTCATGAGTAGGCTGGCCGTTTTTCTGGTTTTATAGTAAATCGTCAGTTGTATCCTCTGATTTTTGTCTGTAGGGATACCGTTTCTATTAACAATATCTTTCAGGACCCTTTCCTCTGTTTTATGAGCTGTGGAAAAGAAGTTCCTGTAAAATAGTCTAATAGGGGGTATAGGTGTTGTGTTAGTTGTCTCTTCAGAGGTTGCATGGCGTTTCACTTTCCTTCTTATGATGTCTTCGACGAAACCATTGGAGAAGCCGTTGTTGACTAGGACCTGCCTTACCCTACAGAGTTCTTCGTCGACTTGCTTCCATTCTGAGCTGTGGCTTAGAGCACGGTCGACATAAGCGTTAACAACACTCCTCTTGTACCTGTCTGGGCAGTCGCTGTTGGCATTTAGGCACATTCCTATGTACGTTTCCTTAGTGTAGACTGCAGTGTGGAAACCTCCGCTCTTTTCCATGACTGTTACATCTAGAAAGGGCAGCTTCCCATCCTTTTCCATCTCGTAAGTGAAACGCAGCACGGAACTCTTCTCAAATGCCTCCTTCAGCTCCTGCAGATGTCTGACATCAGGTACCTGTGTAAAAATGTCGTCAACATACCTGCAGTATATGGCCGGTTTCAAGTTCATGTCGACTAAGACTTTTTGCTCGATGGTACCCATGTAGAAGTTTGCAAACAGGACACCTAGGGGAGAACCCATGGCGACCCCATCTACTTGCTTATACATGTGCCCATCCGGGCTCAAGAAGGGTGCCTCTTTAGTACAAGCTTGGAGTAGTTTCCTTAGAATATTTTCGGGTATGTCAAGAGGAGTTCAGGCAGGATACACTCTGTCGGCTATCATCCCGATTGTCTCGTCCACAGGTACGTTGGTAAACAGCGATTCTACATCCAACGAGGCTCTTATCCCTGTGGCCCGTGTGCCCCGCAGTAAGTCAACAAATTCCTTTGGAGACTTCAGGCTGAAGGCGCAAGGAACATAAGGAGTCAGCAGGCCGTTGAGTCGCTTCGCCAGTCTGTACGTGGGTGTGGGTATCTGGCTAATGATTGGCCGAAGTGGGTTTCCAGGCTTGTGTGTCTTGACATTTCCATAGGCATATCCAGGTTTATATTCCTCAATGATCTTTGGCAAGTGGAGTCCGGATTTCTTGGCGTTCACAGTTTCGATCAGTTTGTTGACCTTTGCTTTCAATTCGGCTGTAGTGTCCTTCGTTACCCTTTGGAACTTAGTTTGGTCAGAGAGTATGAGGTTCATTTTCGCCAGATATTTGTCTTTTTTAAGAATGACATATATTGGCGACTTGTCACCTCTCCTGACAACTATCTCCTTGTTTTCACGAAGGCTTTTAGCTGCCGCTTTGAGCTCGGGGGACAGTATGGTGCTTCTGTAATTGCCTCGATTCTTTCCTCCTTCTGCAATAAGTACTGCTTGTAAGGTATCTTTGGTAGTGACCTTCTTTTGTGTCTCGAGGTCGAATATGTCATCCAACAGAATTTCCAACTCTACTTTCTGGGCCATCTCACTCGGTCTGGACATAACGTGACAGTTTATGCCCAGATTTAGGAGAGTGACTTGGTCCTCAGTGAGGTTAATTCCTGCAAGGTTCAGGAAGCCATCTCTTGGTCGTGGAATTGCCATAGGTCCTCCATATAATGTTGTAAGTTTCTTGATAATCCTTGTTTCAGTGCTGAGGTGATGTCGGTCTGTGAGGATGTCGAACATCCGAATCGACATCCTCACAGACCGACATCACCTCAGCACTGAAACAAGGATTATCAAGAAACTTACAACAATATATATATATATATATATATATATATATATATATATATATATATATATATATATATATATATATATATATATATATATATATATATATATATATATATATATATATATATATATATATATATATATATATATATATGTTTCATTGAATATGACCGCATATTCTGTATTTATTATTTTCTGGTTTAGGGCTTCTATCCCTCTAACTATTTTCTTAGCATCAGGGCTTAATTGAAATAGGAGTTCTCCAAAACTCATTTTCGTACTTTTAAGGTGAAGAAAAGAAGTGATTTACTATAGAGTGTATTACACTTATTTGTATAATTTGCACGACGTTTCGAACCTCCATGGTTCATTCTCAAGTGAACAGATCTTACAATACTAGTTGATTTTATACCCGCATTAGGTCAGGTGATAATACAATGAAGGTGAAAACATGGGGGGATACATAAGGGATAAACATAGGGGCTGCAGAAGGCTTATTGGCCCATACGAGGCATCTCCTATCTAAACACAAAGATTAATCCAGTGTAATTGGCCTGTTATGTTGGACATTGTCTTCTGTGTTGGCATCGATATGTTCTTGTCTTGTCCTTACTCTCATGGTGGGTAGAGTAAATAGTTCCGTGATTTGGGTGTTCATGGTAGGTCGCTCTATTCTTATGTGAATTGCCTTCATTGTATTATCACCTGACCTAATGCGGGTATAAAATCAACTAGTATTGTAAGATCTGTTCACTTGAGAATGAACCATGGAGGTTCGAAACGTCGTGCAAATTATACAAATAAGTGTAATACACTCTATAGTAAATCACTTCTTTTCTTCACCTTAAAAGTACGAAAATGAGTTTTGGAGAACTCCTATTTCAATTAAGCCCTGATGCTAAGAAAAT